CTTTTTACTTTTTCAAATTGTTGGCTATTTGCGTGTAGTTATAGTAAAAAATAAACTGAAAAAGAATGGTTTTTTGCTGCATAGGTCTTTTTCCCCTACCTCAGCCTAGCCAGGCAGAAATGTATTCTATGTCTATTCAAATGAATAAATGCCTTTTTATCTTTCTGACATTGTTCTGAAATGGTATTATCTACTACCTTTGTTCCAATTAGTACCATGCGTAGCTGTTTCTCAACAGACTTTGTGCTGAGAATGACTTTTCATTTGAAAACTTGATCATTCACAACAGTGTATCATAACTAGTATTCTTTAAATTTATAAGCTCGGTTTATTTACTTACATTTATAATGTAGGCATTTTAGATGCAGCTTATATATGTGAATTCTAAAATTAATAGTAAGTTCAACTGCAAATCTTTATATTAAGTTTCAGATGTTTTTATACTAAGTTCATTTTCAAAACCTTTTTTAAAATACACATCTTTTTAACAAAACTGAAAGTAATGGAGCTTAGCCTGATTGCATATTTGCTGCCATAATAAATTTACATAATAAGAAGGGGATAGTCTACTGTGATTGAATGTCTATCTCCAGTTTACACTAGGAGTAAGAATTTGGGTCACCTCATCTCAGTAGCCCAGCTTCCTCCTTTATATTACAGAAGATTTGTCTACTTTGTGGGCTGGAATGTGACTTGAACATGATAGAATATCAGGAAATTAATTTTTAAAATCCATTAAGACTGATTTGTTTGCAGCCATTCATATGATATGTTGGCAAGAATATTGATTTTGGTTTGCAATTTAATAATCTATGAAACAAATCAGGTTGATTCTCTGAAAGAATCATTTCAGTTAGACAGTAATATTAGTAGTTAATGCAAGAACTCTGGTAAGCAGTTCTTTTATTGGCTTGTGTGGTGCTAAGGAAGTATAGTATTTGCAAGTTGTCATAAATGAAGAACTTCTCTCAGCAAAGAAACCTTTATAATTGTCAATATTAGGTTGATTTTGAATTTTCTGTCTTGTCTTAGTTTCATAAAACATAAGGGCAATACAGGCATGTTTGAAACCCTAGGACTTGGCTGAAACAGGGGAATCAGGACTTCCTGGTTAGCTACTCTACATTGTGAGACCTTCCCCCCAAAACCTGTCAACCAACCATTAAACCAAAACAGGGCTGCCCTTGACACCCTTCCTAATCATTCTCAAATTGAAGAAATAGGATCCATCTGTTTGCATGTATTTAGTTCAGGTTCAACAGGTAGTTGAAGTCTTAAAGAGCAATATAAGACTAAGACTTGAAATGGTGAACCGGAATGGAATACATGCAAATAGATGTGGTTATTTGGAAGGATGTGAAAGGCTGGCCAAGATGACAATGACCAAGAAGAGTATCATAGAGTCCCATTGCTGAAGTGGGAAGTGAGACAAGTTAGTAGCTTTTCTTGGGGCTCCTGGTTTGCTTCTGAACAACTTTGCCACAGCTTCACAGCTGTGGCACTTTGCAGCCATGGCACTTTGCATGTATTTTACAGAAGATGGTGATAATTGTGAAAAGTAAAAATCTTAGATGAGAACTGCCTTCCTCGGTTTTTCATATTCCTTCCTAGCCCATATTCACATAGTTGCATAATTTTAACACAGGCAAGCATACTTGTAAAATACAGTAAATTATGGAACATAAGCTATTACAGCAAGGCATACATTTTTGTATGAAGCGGTTACATCACTCAGACTTGCTTTTTCAATACTTGCTTTTCCATCTTTATTAAATTTGTTTTTCAGGAGAGAATCTTTAAGGGAGTATTTCACTTCAAAATGTTCGTTTGTTAAAGTATATCATGATAATTTCCAGGTCATTATTTGGACTAAATCCACATAATTCTAAGAAGATGGGAAATACAAGTTTTCAAATAAACTAGTTTTAATGAAAGCCAGTATAATATCCATTAAAGCAGACAAGATAATGGTGACTTACAAAAGTTACTAAACTTCACTTAATCAGCCCACACTCTGGAGAGAGTGTAGTTTAAAGATTGCTTTATGAAGAATGTGTAGTTGAAAGATGCTTCCTAAGAAGTGTGGCCCAGGATTCTCTGCAAGGCTGTTGTTAGTGAAGTACCTGTAGCTTTGGGTTTAAATTAAATTTAAAGAGAATTCTCGGTACTCTGCTGTATCTTCATCAAGAACTGTCAAGAGTGAAGGGTAGCCATAATGAGATCTTGGGAGAATGTTCATGTGTCAGTATCACCGTGTGGTATTCAGAGGCTCTACAAGCAGGTTGTGTAAATAATTCTGTTTAACTGGAGTATGGTGCACAGTAGTATAGATTAAAGGAGACACTGAAAAGTGCATGAGAAGCTGAAGCCTTGCTGATAAATTTCCATGGCTGAGTTTTGAAGAATTGGCAGATGTTTGGGAAGTGTGATCATGGTATCAACAGAATGGAGTCAGAAGCCTACTATGTTACAATGAGTAGCGAATAGCAAGCCAGAGTGGCTGGTCCCTGGCATCATTCCTCCTTGAGCCCTTTGCCCTTTGTTTCTGCCTAGCCACTTGACAGAAATCTGTTGACTGGTTGCTGCCAGTCAGCTGTGATCCCACAGAGCAGGATATTGCTCTCTACAGTGACTTTCCTAGCCTCTGTCATTGGCCCTTGTATCACTTACGGGATGCTGTCCAAACTTCTGTGTGTGCCACACATATTTTTAAACCACTGGTCCTTCCCTTCATCTCTGTCCTAACACCATACCAGTATCTGTCAACACTTTATAGTTGGGGTATAAGACTGGGCTACTTTGTATTCCACCAATGGGCAATTTCCCGACAGTGTGTGTGTGTGTGTGTGTGTGTGTGTGTGTGTGTGTGTGTGTCTATACTTGAAAATCACCAAGCAGTATCCTTAGAAAGAGCTCTGTAAGCGTCATCTATCTGTAGTTTGGACTTTCCATGCTGGATTTCAATTATTCCTGTCAACAGAGTGTTGTTTTCCTGTTCCTAATATTTACTGTGGTGTCTGTTATTCAGAATATTTGTATTAACCCCCCTTCTGCTGTGTATCTATTGCCCCTGAATGTTATTTGGTGTCAGTCTGTCATGCTTTGGGTTTTTGGCTAATCCCCACACATAGCCATGAGTTCAGAAGCTTGGGCATTTACTAATTCCTGGGAATGGAGCCCTCTCTTGAACTTCACTGCCTGCTTGCCCAGGGCCTAGGAGTCTATCAGTGTTTTCCAGGCTTCCCAGGGGCACCGCTTCTCTTTGCTATAGTTTCCTAACTGTGGGAGTTCCCTTTCAAGCTGGAACTCTGAATGTAGACATGATTAGTTGAGTAAAATCTTCTCATGAATTGGCTGTTTTCAATGTTGACAGCCCAAATCATTGCCAGAAAGTTAAACAACTAACTCATGTGTCATCTCCCTCAGATTCTGACTTAAAGTTTGGTTCTGATAATTGCCATAGCCCTTCCCCCCCAACCCACCCACCAAGAAAAAAAAAGTAGATCAGCGTTCCAGTCATGTCTCACCAGTTGTGTCAAACTTTACAAGCTCCACAGATTCAAGCCAGTCTCTCGGATCATTCAATGCATGAATCAGTATATAACACAACTCTTGTACTCAGCAATTAAATCTCCCCATTTCAAATGTGCGAGACCCACTTCTCCATTCCCTGCTCCTGGTCCCCACCTCATTTACTGTTCATGACAGTTCCACCCAGGCCCAATGAAAGGAGTCAAATTCTGGAAGCACAAGACTCAGGCACTGAAGTAAAGTCAGATAAGTGCTGCTCTTCCCTCCTCCCGTGACTCCAACTTTTGCTATGTCTCAGCTGTCCATGATCTTCACCCTTGCCCTTCATTTCGGATTCTGATTTATCTTGTCCTTCCTTGCTTGCCTGTGTTCCTTCACGCTGTATCCTAGGAGCTTGCTGCCGGGATGTGAGGCATGGCAAGGGTGGTGGATGTGTTTTTCTTGGATTTGGGTTTGGGGCTTCACTTTCTACTCTCACTTTAGCCCAGGGTTCTCTGTGTAGAAGAGGTCACAGTTGCTGGACGTCCCCAAGACAGGTGCTAAACTGGAGAAATTCTAGGGTTTTCCTTGTTAAGCAAAAACAGAAAAGATTTTCCTTCTTGAGCAAAACACAGAAATTGGAGGGAAGAGTGAGTAGGCAGCCGGTGAGTCAGTGCCCACCCGTGGACCAGTCAGCTGACCAGGAGGCATGAGGTCATATAACTCTCCAGAACTTCCGGACACTCTCCAGGAGGCCAAGGCACTGGATAGACAAGGCAGTCAGCTCAGGGTGGGAAAAGTGTAGAATGTCTAGAATGTGCTACTTTTAAAGTAAGAGCTTTGTGTGTTCGGTAGTTGCGTTGATGTGTTTGTGAGGCCGGCTGGCCTGTTGCAGACTATTTAGTTAGCTCAGGCCAGCTTTAAGCGCTACTCAGTCCTCTGCAGGCAGCCTTCTAAGCATGGGGGCATATGCTGCCATGCACCGCTCAGTGAGGTCTGACTGGACCCACACAGGTTTATTGGGATCTGTGTGGTATAAATCACACGTAGGTGAGCTTGTATAGAGTTGTGGAGGGTTTCAGAAGTTCTTACCTGGGATTCGCTTCTGAGTTAAGCAGGGTGTGTCAAGAGCTTTGTGTTATATTCCCGCTGTGGCTATGCCTGTGGGTAGAGTGCGTTGCCCTCCAGACTGCAGTGGTAAGCTGCTGTAAATGCACATTATTAAGCATATTAAAATACAGTCCAGAGACTTGCTAACAGACATTGAATTCTGGTCGAACTTGCCCTCCCTGGAGTACTTGCTGTGTCTGCCCTGCTATAAACTGTATAAGCAGGGCAAACCTTGGCATGCAAAAGCTGTCCACTGAAGGCTTGGGGTATATTGAATGTGACATGCTGTCGAACAGCTGTGCAGAAGTTGATCTGTTAAGTAGATAACAGGTTTTGAGGATTCAGAAAAAAGATGGGGAATTCTGGAACTTTCCAAGTGAATGGGCTGCGCAATTGGAGAAGAAATGCTTAGCAAGGAGCAGCGCTCTGGGGAATTTATTATCCTCATAAGACCAGAGATCATCGGGCCTCCGAAGTTGCTACAAGTTTTCAAAAAGAAGGGGCCATTGTCCTTCCTGTTAATTAGCAAGATTGTAGCCAAATGTAATGGATCAACACACAAAGACAAAGGCAGGTTGGATGTGTTTTGGGGTTTTTTGTTTGTTTGTTTGGTTGGTTTGGTTTGGTTTTTGGAGACAGGGTTTCTCTGTGACTTTGGAGGCTGTCCTGGAACTAGCTCTTGTAGAGCAGACTGGTCTCAAACTCACAGAGATCTGCTTGCCTCTGCCTCCCGAGTGCTGGGATTAAAGGTGTCCCCCACCACCTCCACCACCACCACCACCACCACCACCACCACCACCACCACCACCCAGCTGTTGGATGTATTTTTAGTCGTAGTATTGTACTATTGTGAGAATGCCACTACATGTGTGTATTAAGAGTGTGGGGGGGTCTGCCCTTGCTACCAGGTGTGTTCATAAAATACCTAATTCACAACACATGAAGTTTGGACTCATATTGTCCACATTTTACAGACAGCAGAACCATAGCTTAGCCACAGTAGCTAACCTCAAGGTCACAGTGAGTTACCAAGAATGGGCATCTCAGCTTGCTGTAGAATTCTGAATAGTTTAATAAAGTCTATGTGTAGTGAGGATGTGCATAGTTCCTTTTTAATTCAGATCTGTAAATTATCTCATGGACCATTTAACCCCTTAGGGGGCTTGTGCCTGGAAAAGACTCTTCCTCTCCTTTAATTACCGTCAGCTCTTCAATGTCAGGTTCTGGGACATATCCCTATCTACAGTGGCGTGGCAACTGGTGGAGTCATTGTTCAAGTCTAGTTTAGCTGATTGGATTTTGGAGATTTCATAGGTGTGGCTTTGCTAAACACGAACGAAAATGAACAACTCTAAGTGGACTCAGGAGGCTCTGTTTTCTTATACGTGCGATACACACATACATACACAATGTGTAATTGATAACTAAAGAAGAGGTTATGAATTTGAGAGACTGGGAGACATAGGAGGGGTTGGAGAAGGGACAGGGGGAGGTGGAGATGTTGTAAATGCAGTATTCATGAAATTCCCAAAAATAAATAACAAAGACCACATGGAGAGATGAGTTTGTACACGAAAGAATGAAGAGATTATTTATTTTTCTAAAAATTGTCCCTTGGCTCTACATAAATATCTGCCTTATACTTAGTATTAAGAAAATAAGTAAGAGAAAGGATCCATCGGGCAATAAAAAAAAACGAGACACAACATTAATTTCTTACGTGGAAGGGTTCTGGAAGAAGCAACAGTGAACAATAAAGAACAGTGATTACCAGAGGGTGTGTGTGAAGGGGGGGGGAGCACCAGGAGGGGTGAACACCTGGTTTAGCCATTAGCATGCAATGTATTTGCTGAAATGCATAGACTGTACAGGACCAAGAAGAGCTCTGAGCTCTGGGAGATGATGCCTCTATTGAGCTTTGTCAGCTGTCACCACCCCTTTGTGAAGAATGTGTGCACCAAAGCTGCTCTAGAAAAGAAATCCATTTACAAATGTAACTATGTTATGTGGAAAAAATATCGTGTGAGCACCCATCAAAAGAAAACTATGACACCAACATGCATTTCAGACAGAATTGACTTGAGAACAAAGAGCATGAAGTGAGCTTAAAGTATGAGGCAATGATATCTGCTTGTAGTTACACTGCTTAGGAGACCTGGTCTAGTGCACACTGTGTGAAAATTCAGTGTGAATAGAACAGTAAAAACTTCACTGTCGCCAAATGAAACTGGCTGTATTGTTAACAGTTGTAACTGCTCTTTATGAACTTTCTTCTATCTCACAGATACATGCTGACACTTAGAGGAAGCATAGTCAGACTCACCGTTTCGCTGATAAAACCCAAATCCTTGAAAATGCTCTGGGAAAGTATGAGCTGTAATGAAAGTTCCATTGCTCTACATTTGGGATGTATTTTTACAGGTTTCCTGCATTTGTATTTGCTGTTGCTAAAGGATACATTTCTACAAGCCACAGGGTTCCTGCTGAATTAAAATCCAGCAATTGTTTTATTTATTAGTAACCGCATCATTAAAACACAAGGGGGCTGGAGGCCCAGCCTAACCAGCATCCAGGCACACACTTGTCTAAAAATCACACTTTGGTTTGGAATTTGACTAGAACAGTCTGGAATAAGTTTGTATTCCTAGTTGTATTATCTCATGGTCATTTGAATATGTTCAGTGTTTTCTGTGGGGGACCTTGTAAGAAATAACAGTAGAAGAAAATCTTTCCGTTATTTTCCTGGAACAGTATCAAAATTTGCTATCTGCCTTAACACATCTGGCCTTGTGCTCTTCAGAGGAAGTGTGTGCACGATCTCTAAGTAATCCCTGGGTATGCCTGTCTGCAGCCCAGCGATGAAGCACTCAGATCACATTCCAGTGTCCTTTCCCCCACTGAAATACATTGAAAATGGAAAGTACACAGTAACGGGTGCTCACCCTTTCTGGTCAGCTGTAGTCTAGTGGAGAAAGCCACAAGTTGGGAGCAGTGGTGATGGTGATGGAGTTTGCAAAGTTCCACATGTTCAGAGTGTGTGGACTACAACTATAGAAGGATCTGGGGTGTTGTTTGTTTTTGTTTTTCTATAGTAGTTACACTTTGTGAGTTCTGTCAGAACGTGGTGGTGGTGGGTGGTGTGTCCTGGGCACTGAACATTATTTTTTCCATATACATTGCAAATCAGAAAAGCTGGAGACAGCTACCCTGGTCCTGTTGTAGCATCCCCCTCACATTCTTCTGAGACTGGAAGCTCGGAACTTCCAGGGCACATCATTTGAGATTTGAAGGTTAGTTAAAAGACTTTTTTCCCTATAAAACTGAATGATTTACTTGCTTCAAACACTAGGAAGTAGGAGACACTACTCTCCACTCTGTTGCTGCACCCTGAGTGAGCTGAGCAGCTTTGCCCTTTGGCCAAATGAGCCCAGCCTAGAATCAAACTGAATCTTGATGCATAGATTTTCTAGTGTTGGCCTTAAGTTGAACTCTTGAACTTCAGCACTGTTTGCATTTAGGGCTGCTCATTCTCTGTCCTGACCATCCTGGGATATTTGAGTAGCATTACTGGCCTCTACCTCATTTCCCAGTAAGAATCCCCTTCCTTCCCTAGAGATAACTGAAAACCTGCAGTGTTATGTGGGAGGAAGAGCCTTTGGGGAGCCTCCTCTGGAAGCAAGTCAGGTGGCCTCTTGATAATTTTCTAGGTTTTGGTTTTACTTTTAAATATTTTTACATATTTTGGGTATTTTCATAGATTGATTTTAGTTTTGAAAACCATAAAAATATCCAGGAAATTGATTGCTACTTTTGAAGTGAAAGCTAGCACATGGTTTTTCCTTGACTTGAATTTAACATGGGGGCCTTTCAATGGTGAGAAGTGTTTTCCATGCTATAGGCATGAACCCTTTAGTCCAGTAGTTTTCAACCTTCTGAATGCTATGACCCTTTAATACAGTTCCTTATGTTGTGGTGCCCCCCCACCATAAAATTATTTTCATTGCTACTTTGTAACTGTAATTTTGCTACCATTGTTAATCACAAATATCTGATATTTCTGATGGTCTCAGACCCCTCTGAAAGGGTTGTTCAACCCCAAAGAAGTTGCGACCCACAGGTTGAGGACTGCTGCTTTAGTAGGTCAAAAATAGTTTAGCAGGTCAGGAATCTGCAAGCCAGGGTGCCAAGAGCCATGATGTAAATGTATTTCTTCATTTAAAGCAACAGGCAAACATGCAGCTGCTGGCCTGGTAAGTATGTGTTCCCTGCCTAGCCACCCCTTCCAACTGAGCTGTTCCAAACACATAGGTGATGGCAAATTCTATCTGGTTGGGTTAAATTTATCAGTCTTTGAAATGTAAAACATTCAAGAATGCTCACTGCAGCAGACCGGAGAGCCATCCTTTTAACTTGGGTTTCTGGTGCACATCATCGGCTTGGAGAGGAGGGAGTGCTGAACTCCAGCACATATTTTAGAGCATTCTTGGCACGCTACTGTAGACTCATTGGCTATGCCCTTCCTCCCCCAACACAAGATTCTGAAAAAGAAAAAAAAGACAGCTACAGTTTAATTGCTTTCATGATCACTGTGCATGCAAAAGCCCTATTTTCATCAATTATTATTTATTTTGCTAGCCTTAAACCATTTTTTGTTTTGTTTTTGTAATTTTTTTTATTACTTCAAATTAGGAACAAGCTTGTTTTTCATGTCAATCCCTCCTCCCCCTTCCGCCCCTCCCTCTCACCCCTCCCTCCTATCTCCGACCTACTCCCCACCCCATCCACCCTCCACTCACCAGGCAGGGTAGGGCCCTCAACAGGGGCTCCACAAAGTCCACCAGATCATCCTGGGCCCTGCCTAGGCCCTTCCCCATGTGTCCAGGCCAAGAGTGCATCCCTTCACATGGGATGGGCTCTCAAAGTCCCTTCTTTCACCAGGGAAAAATACTAATCCACTACCAGAGGCCCCCTAGAGTGCAGAGGCCTCCTCGTTGATATTCACTTTCAGAGGTCTGAATCAGTCCCGTACTGGCCTCCCAGACAGTAGTCTGAGGTCCATGTGCTTCCCCTTGTTCAGGCCAGCTGTTTGTGTGGGTTTCACCAGCCTGGTACTGACCCCTTTGATCTTCATTCCTCCATCTCTGCAACTAGGTTCCAGAGTTCTGTTCAGTGTATATCTGTGGATGTATATCTGCCTCTGCTTCCATCAGCCACTGGATGAGGGCTCTAGGATGGCATAAAAAGTAGTCATCAGTCTCATTATAGGGAAAGGGCATTTAGATTATCCTCTCCACCATTGCCTAGATTGTCAGTTCGTGTCATCCTTGTAGGTCTCTGGAAATCTCCCTAGTGCCAGATTTCTCCTCCGACCTATAATGGCTCCATTTAATATGGTATCTCTCATCCTGCTCTCCTCTGTTCTCCCCCCAACTCAACATTTCTGCTCCTCCATTTCCTCCTCTCCTCTCCTCTTCTCCTCCTCTCATTCTGGCAGCTCCCTCTCCCCTACCCTCATGCTCCCAATTAGCTCAGGAGTTCCTGCC